ATCATTCCATGTAGTGGAGGAAATGTCGGGATTAAAGTCGAAATACACGTCCCTGATTTCAGGCATGTTTGGGCTAAGTTGACGACCTGTTTGAAGAATTGGAAAGCCTGCTGTGTCGCCGCCGATAAACTTAACAAAGGAGCTTGGTATGTATGGGGTTCAATGGTTGAATGTAGTTTTGGGCACTATTTGAAGCTGTCCCCCTCAGGATTGTGATAGGTGATATGGTAGCAACCATAGTCGGTTGGCTTATTGAGCTCTAAGTAGATGAACGGCAAAATGTTAGGTTCTTATACGTTGCCAGTCGACGGAGTCGATCACACTGGTTAGACAAGGCATTCACTGCAGACGGATCAGAAATAAAGAGCTCCATAGGGCGTGGACAATCGGCTAGTCTTTGTGTTAGCCTGATTGCTGGTAATAAACACCATTTCAAATTAGAGTATTTCGTCTTTTTGCATACAATGGTACAAGCCTGAAGAAGGATTATTGAAAACATATGTTCTCTTGAAAATATTAATTTTTTATCCATTTCATAAGGCTTTTTAATACTCTGTCTGCTGGAAAAAATCAGGAATATTAAACGATATGAGTGTACTCTAAGGTGCCAAATTTCTTACCTCGGTCGAGTTAGTGTAAGTGGCATTCTTAGTATTGTTAAAATTGCAACGGGTGTCAACGGAGCTACAAATTTTCTTTCTATTCATCAGTTTCCAGTATGTATCCTACTTGGCACAGATGCTGATCATGTTATTTACGCTATCGCTATCCGTAGCAACAGTAGGCTGAGAACCTGAGTGGCCTCTACGTAGATCTCTAGATAGTATCGGAGTTCCCACTAATACCGTTGGGGTAGTATAATTTGTAATATTATTAGATCGCTGGATGGGAATGATATTGCTACTGAAGATCGGTTGTGTTAATGGGCCGTAAACCGCACTCGCGGAGTCATCTAGGTCAGCTGCGCAGACAATGTTTGTGTGCGTGTTCCCATCATATGCAGTCAGTTTGCGAGAGGTCCAGCGCGTTACACTGTTTCTTTGGAACAGGCGTATGTATCCGCTCAAGTGATGTCTTAATTGAGCTTATAACAATATTCGCAAGTAAGCTTGCTACTTTTATAACTGACGTAATCCGTATTAAACATTTTGCACAGTGTTTTGGAATCTCAGTAGTAACATGCACGTGCAGTTTAAACCTACCTTCTTTAGACGTACCGCAAGGCAACCTTCATTTTGAAACCTGATGGTGTTTAGTAGTAAATCTTTCAGCTTTTCTGAGGTAGCCTATATGGGAAGGTTAACGCAATAACATTATTTGCACGAATAATCCGTTCAGACACTTCAGTGGAAATCACAGAAATAATGCTATCAGGGAGATGGAGGTGATCAGACGATGGATTTTAGTTAAGTGAAAAGTGAATCCATCATAGGAGCCATAGGCCTAACAGCAGCCAAGCTTTCTTGCAAATCGCTGACAGCTCTTTCAAGCTCATTTATTCTATCCTGCAATCCAGAGCATGAAATGCTATCCTGTGTGCTGCACGGGGTGGGATTACTGACGCTTATTGTAACCGCAGTGGTAATGGTAAAAGCAGTAGCTTGGCTAATGGCACTTTTCTTTCTCATGGAACACGCGTTAACGGCTGTATAATGAAATAATAGGGGTTTTCTCACACAAGATATGCAATCGTTTTAGGGGCAAAAAGGTCTGTTGTACGAGAGCAAAATAGAATAGTACTGCAGGTACGACGGTCACTTGTAATGCCTAATGTAACTTGGCTGTAACCGCTAGTTTCGAAATCAGAATCTGGGTGAGGTAGAACAAAATATGTAGCAGTTAGCTGCCTAGACTAAGTCTGTTTGTCCAGGTAAGGATTAATGGGGGCAGTTGGACAAAACCAACTGACATCCGTTTTACGTCAAGATATTGTGCTGTGGTGGGAGGGAACGCGGTCAAACCGACCTGCTGTGACTTGACACCGCCACGGTGCACGCTGGTTTCAATTCACACGTTAGTCGAAAAGCACAAGGTTTGTTGACTGCCGGTGCCACTTGTGATCTTGTTGCTTAGCCCGAGGACGGCGAGCGATGCAGCAGACTGAAACGCTATTGATCGCGCTCTGGTTGTGGCAGTACGCAATGCAACACTGGGGTGGAATTCTGGCGAACCACTGGCGGACCACTGGCGGACTGTTGGATCGACACCGGCTGCATTAGTAAATGATAAGAATTCGCTTGTAGCTGTCTCATACAGCTATTTTCTGGGTTTTTTTCATTTACATTTTATTCTCTTGTTATTCTGTTGGTCATGTGTGGGTCGATCTCCTGAGTGGACTGTTTGGAACATCTAAGCGACATGAATACCAAAGCCAAAAGTCACACTAGTGGATAGCAAATGTGTGCAGAAGTATAAAAATGTCCAATCTGAACTTCTGAACTCACACTTAATGGCATGTGAGGCCAACCAGGGATTCCGGTCATCATGTACGCCAAAAAATCAACTATGAATGACGAAAGGGCTGACTAGTTAGCACATCAAAAATTGCCCAAATGATGAATACAATCAGTAGTGAGGCGTGGTGCGGGTGAATCCTCTCGAGAGACTACCCAGCATGGACGCAGGTCCCCGGAAGACGGTTCTACGAATGACCGTATTACTTCATTTGTTCTTTCTTAGCTTACTTCATTCTGGATTGAATCTGTTGTGCTCCTAGTTCCTACCTACCACATTTCTACCTTTCTAGTGTCGTACTGATATTTCCCAATTACTTATTCCATAAAGCACATCCTTGATCTTAGTTGTGGTGCTTTCCTCTCTACCTCTACGCCAAAATCTGTTAACTAATGCACACTTTCCTTATCACAACGTTGTTGGCATCAACTACAAGACTACGATGCACTGAATAAATACTTACTTTGCAGTGAATAAGCTTTTACTTCTTTGTCTACATATCAGTTTATTTTTCCCTTTTCAACTGTTACTTTTCCGTGCACAGGCACGCACACCCTAAATGTCCACCTACACGTAAAGGCTGATAGGAATGTAACTGAGCTCACCCAGAATCTCAACCATCTGGCAGTCCACAATTCCACTTGATTAGTTCATCACCATAAGTAGACCAAATGATGTCCTGACACTACGGTATACCATAATTCCATACGATGTGAATATCGTTTAGATTATTTTGCTAAAGCAAAGAGTTTGATGATCCACTGGATTTAGGTTTATATAGCGTTTTTCTTTGTTTCGCAACTACTTAATTTCCTTCTCACAAATAGTTCCAACAGTATTAATTTGGTCTACGAAGTAAGATTGTGTGTAACTCATCTGATTTATATTGATGACTTTAACTGTCTCATCCTTTGTATACTCCTTTCTTCTTTGGAACCGCCGCCATCATAGCACCGAACTCTTCACCGAAAACAACCAAATGAGAATGCCTGGAAGATGGTAGCATAAGGGGGCAAAAGTCCCAAATAAAATACTCGCACAAACCCCTAATCGTACACCTGTAAAACCCAAACCATTGACAGCCTCGAATGCCTGAGCACGCTGCACATATAAATATGATCTGTCATTTTGTGGGCTCAGTTTCTCGGTACCACAATAAATATACCTTATTAGTATAAGCTAGTATGTTTATATTTATATAGGTTAACCGAAACTCATCAACGAGATGTTGACAAACTAACAACGCATTGTTTCCGTTCAACCAGCCACGGCCGTTCGTCGTAGGCATAAGCTGTCTGCATAGTAATCTAAAATCACCGGTTGCGTCTTGCACTGTTGCGACAGATCTCGCGATAGACAGAGCCGGCGCGCGACTTGTGAATGTTGAGTGGAAACGAAGTGCCAAGGTAATGTATTGGCATACTTCTTACGTCTTTTGTCACAGACCATGATATACGCTGATCCCCATTATTCTACACGTAAGCCAGATTTGAGAATCACCTCAGCTATTTGCAAGGTACTTAGCAATTAGATAATACCGATAATTAGATTGAATCACTAATAAAACGCATAGTTTTTTTATGCACTCATGCGAAATCCATGGTTGAAGGCGACGGCTATTTGCAATGCAGAGGAGTGGTCATTATACACGTCAGCTAGAGGTGGGAAACACTTCGGCTACTGTGCCGCAAGGGGAGGAGTACAGATACACAGTACAAAATCCAATATGGTCGAACATTGCCCATGTCAACAAATCACCCTAAGTATTCAACTATTTTGAACACAAACCCAAGAGCCGGGATGAATCCGTCATGGCCAGTTCGAAGATGGTCCATGCCAATGCTAGGGGAATGCATTACATCTTGAGGGTGCAAATTACTAATTGAAATGATTGTGTGCCAAAGCTAATCTGTCGAGCGCTATTGCTTTTTGAAATTCCTTATAAGTTAGGAAGAAATCGTCGCTGTATTTCAAGTAGACAATTTGGGCCAACTCTTGGCGATGTCCTACAAAACAGGTTCTTGTGAATACCTGTTTCATAACCTAATCAGTGGAGGAGCTCAAATTTGCAGGTTGTAGCGGGGTGACCGCACGGGAATGACAAGTATAGTGCTGTTTTTTTAGTATATGCTGAGGCACATGTTTATCTCGTTGAAGAAGGTCTTTGGTAATCAAGGTCTACTTTAAACAGTGGTTCTATGTCAAGCTCATCTGCAGGCATTTGTTTAGGAAATAGCTGTAATCTTTATGTCATTGGGCTGTTCTTTCTATCTTGCACTCAAGTGAGCGTGCAACATTATTTCGCTACATGCTTCAAGTCGGCTCATATATTTGCAGTCAGGTGGCGTTTTGTTGAATTGACGCACCACCAGTTTATACAACTTGACTCTAAATAATCTGTGTACCTGTACAGCCTTTCCGTTACCAAATGACAGTAATTAACACTTGATACTACACATATTTGGTACTGTTCAACGGCTGAATGGCTCTATTCTCCAACTCTCTTCTAGCTAATTCGAGTCAGTGACGAAAACGGTTCTAAGTTCATGCACCTTCCAAACAAAAAAGAAAGCTGCATTTTAGTAATACGCGCCTCCTTATCCACGGAGTTGGAAAATATCCTGCAGAGAGATCGCCGAGTAAATAAGTCTTCTTTTCTGTCGCGCACATTCATCGCGAGCATACTCTGCTCCACAAAGAAGTCCAGTGATCAATCAAAAATTTCGACCGGAAGTTTGCTGACCTTGAATACTGCAGGTGAGTTGGACTAATACTTAGCGCATGTCCTGGAAATCTATTGATCACATTGTGTACATAAGCGGTTGTTTTGGGTTAGCGACGCGAAAATCCAACCTTAACCGCTTAATAAATAATGATACTCCAGTTGGACTAGCATTGTCCGTGCATGGGCAGTGGTGAACCTGTGGTCCGTCATAACTACATGAAACTTAAATATATATCTCCTGAGCGAGTGATGCGATAAATGTCCTATGTTTGCAGAATAAACAGTCGAATTTATATACATCTGGAAGGAACGAACCTAAAGTAAGACGCGTTTTGAAAAGAAATATTGATGCTTCTTGGATGACCAGGCCATTTAAACTTTCGGTTTTTTCTCGTAAAATCAAGCGATATATATTCGTTGGATTTAATATGGCAAAATTAAGTACACCTGATTTATATCGAAGTAAACTATTTAAGCTAAATATCAGTAGAATCGGGTGTGTTACTGTGGGCCCCACTTTTGCATGCTCCACTAAGGACTACCAAGCGGCAGCCGAATTTCTTCCATTTCGGTCCCCGCTACTGCCGACGATTGATTTAAGTCTCCAATGCTGAATCCATATATGTGCGTCATCAGTAAGCCATTCATCAACCGCTTCTGTAAAAAAAGAGCAATGCTGCAATGAAAACGCACACTTATCCATTGTCAGTTAAAGAAATCCGAATATCGTAAACGCTGAGTAAATGCTTAATGCACGAAGGCTATTTCTTATTATTGTAGTCGAGAATAATTATTTTTTACTAAGCTACCAATGCTTATCATTCAAAAAGCATTATGTGGTTGTCCATCGTCAGTCGCTGTAATTATTCCGAGAGTTCGGTCATTAGAAACTGTGTTTCAGAAGGTGAAAGTAACGCGAGTTGATACAGCAAGATGTGAGCAGCTTTGGGATGAGGAATTAAAGCTGTTTCTTCACAGACTGACAAAGATAATGATGGAACGACTATCTCGTAAAACTACAGAACAATTTAGTAGCGTTGACTAAATTATCCTAATACTTGACACGCATAAAATTGTACCTTATCGAAGTGACAGTCATAGATAGACTCTGCAATAAATATGAGGTGCTTCCGGAATCCGCGAGAGAATTGCTCAGGAATGGTATAAATGACGCTGAAATCGTATTCTGTTCCTGCGTGATCACACCATAAGAGATGCGGTGTGAAGAAAATGTTACAAAAGCTCACTTCGCCTCTTGAAAATCACCTTGGAATGTGTTTACGAATCCTAAGAGATTGGAGCATTGTGGTACGACGTACGTATGGTGCATCACAGGAGCACGAGTATTCGTAAACAAGCATGGATCAAGGTAGCGGAGGGAGACTACCTTTCAAAGGTTTTGCCAGTTAAGGCTTGTTGTACTAGGCGTAGGCGGACCGCAATATAAGCCTATTCAGTGGCCTCTTTCAGGTGTTTGCACAAAGCATCAGCCAAACCGTTGCATTTGAAAAGGAAATGCACTATGAGTTCTTACTTGGGTACACTCATCCACGGGAGATTTAGCTTGCGTTCTTCCAAGGTTTGAAGATATATTTATCTGGGTACCCATTTGCTTTTAATGACTGTCTACGTTGGCTCTATCAATGTTTGTTTTCAGTACTCATGCTCCTGTGATACACGATAGGTAGGTCGTACAAAGGAACGCCTATTTCATTTGATTAGAGAACGCATGCCCAAGTGATTTTTCAAATGCAAAGCTAGTTCTCGTAACAGCTCCATCATGTCGTACTAATTAGAGTGCGGACACGCAGAAACGGAAAACGATTTCAGCTTCGTTTATGTATTTCTGATTCAGTAACATCCTCATAACGACTGCTTGAGATATTTGTATCCGTACCTAAGACCGGAATGGCGCATAAGGAACAGTTTGTAGGTCACTTGCTTCTACCGTGTACATTATCCTCAAAATGCCTTGCCAAGTGGTACGTAACGGACACGGAGTAAAGGATGTTTCATAACAGTATGCTTCATAACAAAATAAACCACTTTTCTTACATGCCTTTGATATATCCTGTGCAAAATTTATATCGCAACTCTCCACATTGCAAAGAATCATGTGATACTGTCATTCGAATTACCGAAAATTTTAACATTTCAGAACTAAACTTATAATTTAGGCTGCCCAAAATTATTCTCTCTGAAGTTAAGCAGAAGAATATGATGATTCAATAACACGCAAGAGTACAGCCAGTTAAACAACATGGGATATATTAATATAACTAAAGGCGTGCACCTTGAGCATCTGCGCGCAACCAGTCTACACCTTTACCATGAAAAAATACGTGCTAAGACGAATCTACAATTTTCCCGAATGACTGCATCTATGCGGCGGTAGAAATGCTCCATAACCTTCTGAACTGCCCCTTCAAGCCAATCGTACATAGGCCTTACCGCATGCGGCAGCAGCATACCAAAACTGTAACTTGCTTGCTTTCTCGATTAATAACTGTTCTTGCAGACTATGTGTATAACTAGAGCAAGCCAGCTTAATTCGAAGAAGCCATGCTTTTACAGCCTACATTGTTGGCGTTCTGGACGAGAAGGCTAGAGAGCGCCTATGTATGGACGAGGAAACGACCATAACCGGGAAAGGAGCCTGTGACATAACTCGAGAAGGTACCATTTTCGTTCAGGAACTAAGGACATTCTCTTGGCTGCATCAGACAACTTCGCAAAAGTGCATAAATGCTCTCAGACTAAAGTTTTTAACTAATTGTTCCACTTTGTACAATGCTGAGAATTCCGTTCTTGTTGCCGTAGTGAACAACATTGAACCCCGAAAGATCGTCAGCATTTTCATTTTGTGGGCAAACAGGCCATCCTCAAAAGTGTTTTTCCAAACGAAACTCCATTGCGCAGGGAAACAATAAAATTACAAATCAAATAACCGACTAGCTGAGCCAGAATTGGATTAACGTCACAACCGTGTTTAACTACAATATTACCGAGGGAAAACCATTTGTGGTGCCGGTTCGATTAAGGAGCAGCCAGTAAATTTCGAAAATGATTTCGGCCCTGCAGATACCTTGATACCACGTGATGTCTTGTCGCAACTGCCAAAATTATATCATCCTACAATGTTACTACGATAATACACTATACATTTGGTGAACGAATTTGGGACATTTCTGGCACGCGTATCCTAGGGCAACTCGAATGATCTCATGGGGTGTACATTTCCGGGGGACCCAGCACTAACGTACTTGGCGGCGATGGAGCTACTCGTTCTCTTGGCATCCTATTAAACCTTAACATTATCAATGCTCGTCCACAACTCTACAGAAGTTTGCAGAAGTATGCAGCCCAGTTTTACTAAACTAAGCCAGGGTTTTTAAGGAATTACGCAGCATATGTGGACCTAGCAAACACAGTCAGCTGCGTGATTCTGGAAAGTGCCTACTGTACCATATGCTGTTCGGGACAAAGCCGAGGGTTATTTTCGCTGACTATAGCAAGTGGTTACAACAGAACATCGTCCAGTATTCCGACTGCGCACTCCCTATAATTCAATTATTGAAGAACGAGGGATACTACAAGCGTACGATCAACCAACCATTACAACCTGACTGATCCTCACTACCAGTGACTGAGGATATCTATACTTCTATCTCATGGGGAGAATTTTATCAAACTAGACATGAGTCACGCTAACCGACAGGTCAAAATAGACGAGGACACACGTGCTTATAACACCAACAACACACACCTTGAATTATTTCGTTATATACGAATGTCTTTTGAAGCAAGCTCTGCGCCTGCTATCTTCAAACACATTATTGACTCAGCGGTTCAAGGCATAACAAGTACATGCTCATACTTGGATAATATCTTGACCACTGGACGCACTCCTGATGAACAACTGCATACCTTAATTGAATTTCTTCAAACGCTAACAGATTCCGAGAGGGTTTAATAAAGCATGAATTCATTTTTAAGTGTACGTTACCTTGGAAGTCGCTTTTCACGAGATGGGCTGAACTGAACTAAATGAAAGACTAACGCACTACAAAAAGCACCAACACCAAAAAATGTGAATGTTTTGCTGTTTTTTGGGGGTACGGTCATGCAGTTTTTCTGATTCATGCTATCAGCGGCAAACGTTTTGCACCCGCTTCATCAACTCTTACGCAAGAACAAACTTTGGAATTGGAACAGAGTTCAGGAAAATGCTTTTAATGCAGCTAAGAAACGTTGGAATGCACCAAAGTTCTTGTGCATCACGACCCACGAAGGCCCATTTCCCTTTCTTTAGACACTACACCCTAAGTTCTAGGAGTCGTTTAATCGCTCAAACTTAAGAACGGATCTTGTCGACCTGTTGTTTATGCTTCACGAACCTTGACGGAACTAGAAGTTAGTTACTCTCAGTTTGAGCAAGAGGCAGCAGCGGTTGTTGTTCGTACTATTCGGTTTCATTAATCCCTAATCGGTCGACCATTTGTGATTTAAGCAGATCATAAACCTGTTGTATCACATCGGTCCATGAAAAGGCATACAGCAATTGGCCCTACCCAGAATAATCCGTTGAGCTTGATTCCCTCAGTATATACATATTTGGTTAGCGGCTTCCGGCTTCGGATATGACTGTCACTGTGGCCTCCGCGGGGACAGCTACAGAAAGCCTGCGAATACAGAGGGACCACAGGTGTTTTGCGATGCGTCACCCCCAGCTCCATCCACACATCCCATATCTAGTGTAAACCCGAAGGGATAAGACCGGAAGGCATGCGAATGGGAGCCACATTTCAACAACGGAACCGGCGCACACTCATTTACACACAAACACAGGCACGCTGTAGTTGGGAACCAAGCGAAAATAAGGCGGTGGCTGGAGCGTAGTTCGCTCCACACTGAGTGCATGAAACTACACTTCGAGCCTAGCAAGGCCACGAGAACCAGCAAAGGTTCACCGTCTCCTGGAGCCAGTAAAGGACATGGAGGGTGTTAGAAATGTAGGCACCTTGTCAGCATG